CCTTGTGGAGAATAATATATCCCATATATCTATACAGTGAGTAGAGTGTAAGGAGAAACAAAAAGTAAGGGTCTTACATATAATATGGAGATACTCCTGTATCTGGAGAAGCCACGTATAGGACTCAAGATTCAAATGGGCTAAATTTATCTATGTCCCAGGTGAGGACATATTCCACAAATGGGAAACAGCAAGTCTTGGGTTTTCCCAAAATGAGGATTGTGAGCTGGAGTTTCATTCTATATCTGGGAAAGACATGTTCTCAAAGTGCAATGGACCCATGGACTTGCAAGCTGCTGGGGAAGCAGATTTAGCCTCTACCCAAGCTATGGGGTGAGGGACACCTGGGCTAAAGAAAGTTTAGCTGCTGAAAACAAACTGAAATTTGACTGTTGATATTGTTGCTGCATGGAGTGATGTCACTAAGTGGTCCATCATATGACTTATCTCCACCAGAGGGAGATAAGCACCTTCTGTATTCCTACAACAGGATTCAAGATATAGTGTTGGGACCCTGGGGACAACAAGGGAAATGAAATTCAGGAGGCAAACATGTTAAAAAGAAAATACTGTTAACATCTGATTAATTTTTTCTTTGAAATTTTCTCTACATGAAAGATGTTCCCGATAGAAGAAATATTTCTTTCTCATTTTGATTGTCTGCTTTCTCAACCAATTAGTTTTTGGTTGTCAACACTCTCACTTTCTCAACTTCAAACAATAACCCCTAGCCTAGTATCAATGATCTGGCAACCTTTGACATTCATGCCTGCAAAAAACAGATCATCAAATGGTGTTTTTATTTTTCATTGACACTAGTATAGCAGCTCGGATTGAGAAATCGGAGAGCTGAGTTCAAATTCCTGTTGAATACTTCTTTCTCATTTTGAAATGTTCCACTGAAGGTGGATCCAGGTGATGCAAGGCCACCATTTTTGATTGGCCCACCAATGAGAGAGGGGCTGGGATGGAGCTTCTTGTATCCCCCTCTGATACTTATGACACAAGGCCATTTATTGAACCCTTAGTCATACTACGTTCTTGTGGGGAGGGGTTCCGCCCTTTCGATGTGTATGGTACAAGACCATTGATCAAGCATTGTTATTGGCTGGCCAATCAGAGTAATGTAATTGGGGTTTGCACTCTCGTAAAGCAGTTGCCAAAAGATTGTTCTTTTGGCAACTGGTCTTGCTGCCAGTAGGCCAACTGTAGAAAAAAAAAATGGTGATGAGAGGGGGGGTCAAAAAGTGCAGTGCCTACTTCGACTTCCTCTTTGTCTGACTGTCAATCCGTACATCCAACTCTATTGCACACTGTCTGCCGAATGACTTTGATTCACCTGTGCGGCTGGCACCCCGCTTTTTATGCTATGGCCAAAATTTGCATGTGTGCAAATATTGTCTCGTTTGGATGAGATATGTGTGCATAAATTGTGTCATCAATAGTGGCCATATTTCTTTTTATCATCACTTTGCAGGCAAGACACGTTTGCGCTTGTTTCAAATTCTGAGGTAAGTCATGTCTTTCATCACACCAACACTCTTTCTGTTGGATGACAGTGATGCCTCGATCAGCTGAAGACCTGTTCTCTACACCACTTTTTGAACTACTTCGATCAGCTGCCTTCATTTAAATAGTTGAACAACACTGAGCTGTTTACCCACAACTACAACCACCAGTCAACCTCTTCCTCTCAGCTCAAGAATTCCTTAGAAGGGGAAACTTCTTCAAGTCCCTTTTGTTTGTGTTTTCATGATCTTAATCAATCATAAATAAAAATTGTTATTTTTACAATTGTTAATGAGTGTTGTTGAAGTTAATTTAGTTTACCAGCAACAACAGTGACTGTAGTCTTTCACAAGCATAACAAGGACAGAGAGAAGTCAAGTCTAATATTTGACAGTTCTTCATTGATATTCCTGCAGATACTGAAACACAATGTTGGCTCGCAAGATATGTGCAGAGTGGGCTCACCAGAGACGGACTAATGGACATGGAGTGGCATTGAAAGAAGCACACAGAAATAGGGTTATATATCCATATTCGTCTGGATTTTTAAAAAAAGTAAACATAAAAAAGACAGCTTTTTTTCTTTAACAAATAGTCATTTTATTAAACATAAAAATATTCTTAACTTTTAAACACACTTCTTCAAATTTTTTAAGGCACAACAGGACAAAATTCGGAATCTAAGCAGATTCTGATTTTCAAGATTTTATTTTATCCACATTTCAACTCTTTAAATATCAAACTACAAGCCTTTAGGAAATAAGAATTTATTATAATTTGGATAATGCTCTCTTTATAGTTTAGACAGACACAAAGGGGTGCTGAAAAGTTCTCAGCCTGACCTACTTCCCAAAAGCTAACCAGATATCAGAACATTTTAAAGGCTTGTTGATCATGCAGAACATTTTACAGCATGCCTTGTATATAAAATAATGATGACAAATATGTAAAATTTTTCATCACAAAAATTGAAAATTTATATATGTATATTTTTAAATTATATATATATATATATATATATATATATATAGGGGAACAGTGCCCAATATCAATGATAGAGCATTTAAACACATAGACAATGTAGACATAGGAATCAACACTGCATGATGACTAGCAGTTTCGCACTTCAGTGCTATCTTCAAATCAAGTGCTACTACTCTATCAGTGGGCTGTAGCAGGTCACTAGGAAGAGGAAAACAGCCTTTCCCTGATTCTTTTGTTTAAGGCTGAGTGAGGGTCATGACCTCTCTGGCTCTCTCTCTCTCTCTATATATATATATATATATATATATATATATATATGTTTCTTTCTTATTAGTATAAACATTATATTTAGTGAATACACATGTTTGAGTAGACATTTTTTTAAAACAGAAAAAGTGACGTCTACTAGCTTGGGTCAGAAAAATGTCCTTCAGCAATATATAGACAATGACAATATATGTCTAGAAAACCGGATGTTAAAATGGTTACAAATAAAAGAAAAGAAATAGCGAAAAGGAGACAATAGGTTAAGGAGTGAGTATAAATTGAAAAAAAATGATGAAAGACAAATAACGACATTCTATATGTATGAAAAAATGCCTGCAGATGGGATCATGTATGCACACAGACACATACACTATAAAAAAAACATTGCACTAATGAAGAATGCATATAAAAAAGAAAAATTGAGAAGTATAAGCAGTCAATTGCTGATACACCTGGACAAGTGGACGGAGTAATTCCTGGAGGGTCCGTCTACGAAAATGGAGTTGGGATGCTGAAAGTAACATCAATCAGCTAAGTCACAAACCTTTTAATTGTATTAATTATATATATATATATATTATTCTTCCTTTTCCCCACTTCCCTTAATCCCCTAGTGACCTACATATACTACCTATTCAAGGAGTAGTGACACTTGATCTGAAGATTGCATTGAGGCATGAAACTGACACTCACCATGTAGTGTCAATTCCTATGCCCACATTATATATATATATATATATATATATATATATATATATATTATTAGGATTGTTCTATTTTATTATTACTTATTGTTGTTAATCTCTTATTGTACCTAATAAGATCTATGATAAGAATGAATCTTCTATCTGTCAGATAACTTTTATTAGGGTATATTGTTAGAATTGTTCTAGTTTATTATTAGTAATTGTCATTTATTTCTTGTTTTTCCTCATTTCTAAATTAAATTTTATCAATAGGTCCGTATGTATTTGATGGAAAAACAAATGCAGTACTGATAAGTTTTTATCATCTGTTTCAGGCATTAGACGGTAGCTTTTGTGATTTATTTCAAATATTTTTTAATGTGATTGTTAATTGAAATATCTTTCATAATTATGAAAATCCATATCTGCAGACACAAAAGACGCACAAGCATATAAGACTTCCCATTTTAGCAGGAAATTTTAAGAAAAATATTTTAATGTATTTTGGTAATCCGTGGTATAGCAAAGTCAAATACAATTTTGCCACTGCACCCTGAAATGTCTTATATGTTTTGTGACTTGTTTTCCTCTGAATGACAGATACAAAGAATGAATTACAACTTCACTCGGGCCAAAAATAAAATCCCAATACCATAATTGTAAAACTGGAACTGGCTGAATTAAACCTATATGCAAGGGTTTCAAAATTTGGGTGACATCGCCTACCAGATTTCAGCTGTTGGTTGGATGAGCAACTGAACAGAAAATGGTGGGTGACTGAAAATTATGGTGGATGAGATAGGATTTTGAGTATTAAAAAGGTATTTTAACATATTCTACCCACCAAAACAATATTCCATGGAGATATGTGAAGAACATGTATTAAAAAAAAGAAGCAAAAAACAGGCGGCTAAATGGGAATAACGGGGTCACATTATTCCAAGACAAGATATAAATATCTGGGGAAACAATGAAATATTTTGGTATTTTCTATAGTTTTGAGAACAGTCATTAACATTCAAATAGTTCTTCAGACAAAATGACATTTTTTTCAGATATAAATCAGATACAGGAAGACAGAAAAAGATCTTATAAAATTACTTAGGTTTGCATTAAAAAAATATTTTATAAAACTGGTATTCATGGCTACAATAAGCTATAAATGAATGTTTCTCAGCAGACAAAACATTGCATCATGGTTGACAGACCACCTCCCAATTTCTCTTACCTTGCTACACCTTAATATTAAAATATGTGGCTACAGTAGATCAGAAATATAAATTTGTACAAAACACACTGCAAACAGTTGGAAAAACCTTCTGAAAGAGAAAAAAAAAGCAACTTCATAGCTTGACTTTGAATACAAGACAAGCAAGCTGATATTTTTTTGCCATTCTTTGTGGGTCTCATATGCCATAAACTATAGCAGCTCCAAGCAAGTTAAATCATCATGTTTATCTTTGTGTGTTTTTCCTAGTTTTGAATATTGTAATTTCTTTTAATCTTCTGATCTGTACTGATGACAACTATCTTTGAGTCACATTCCCAGAAGATTCAAGTGTTAGTTGAAGACTTGGATTCCTTTTCTGCATTCAGATCCAATTTGCAGTAAAGACACATCAGTAAATTATGGCCTCTGATGTCAGGTGCAGGAATAAAAGGCTTCAGACATTTTTCACACTAGAATATTAAAAAAAAAAAAAAAATTTATTTCAATAAAGAACAACAAATGAAAGAAAATTTTGAAGTTGTGAAATTTCAGAGTTTTTAACAAAATTTTTATTCATTCCATATACATGATACGATGGATAAATTGTCGTCTAAATTACACAAAAATGAAAACAACGCTGATGTCTCATTTAATGTATTTACCAAAATTACACAAAATATCTTGAAATACTAAGGAGTAAATTTATTCAATAAAATCACCATTGGCTTCAACCACGGCCTCCAAATGACTTTGGAATCTCCTGCAAATCTTAAACAAGTTGGTAAATGCTGCCATAATTCTTGCCTTCAGTTTATCTTTGGTGTTACAAAGAGTTTTGTTGGTCTCTCACTCAACTGTGCCCCACACATAATAATCAAGAGGGTTGCAGTCTGAGGAGTTAGTTGACTTGATGTAAAAGGTGATATGGTTGCAGAAATTGTCTGAAAGCCATGACTGGGTTCTCCTGCTTGTATGGCATGGTGCAGATACCTGTTGCCAGACATAGGGTCTTCCAGAAGACACACTCTTGACCGAGGGCAGCATTACTTCCTCAAGGAACTTGATGTAGGACTTCATGTTGAGTTTGAGGCCCTCAACAACAAATTTGAGAGTTCTTTTATCAGAACAATCAGAATGAGTTTTCTGAGCTGCCGTACCTTTGTAATCACCATTAAACTCATCCAACTCTTTCCAAATCCTCTGCACTGTCCTCAGATTGACACCCAAACACTCTGAAATGTTCATATTGGAGTTTCTGATGTGAATGCCAAACAGTACAGCATGCCATTTCCAAATTTCTGACAGAGTGAATTGTGTCATGGTGCTCTTTTTCTCATAGACGGTACCCAACTAACCCTACTATAATGAGCCGTCAACAAAATAAAAAGAAAACAACATGCATGCACAAAATTAAAAATATAAAATGGTGACAATTTACTCATCATACCTTGTATAAACATTCAACGCGACTCTCACCAAAGCATTCCATTGTCCATCCAATGATTACCCCACTTTGCATTTCATTTCTCAGTCTTGTCAGTATACACTGAAAACTGGCAAAGGATCCACTGCATACTCACAAGGTAACACAATGAAAGATGCCACATCAAGGAATAAGAATGCAAACCATGTCTCCCATAGAAGGTGTTTTTAATCAGGGTGTTGCCTTTTTGTCTGGGTGGGTAGGTAGGTGATACTTTGGACTATGAAAAACCTTTCTGCATGCTTTAATTTTAGTTTTAATTTCAAGTTAATAGATTAAATTTAATAAATCCAATTTGCCGTATTGCAAAAACTAATTTAAAACTAATTTAAATTGACAGAAAGGCGGGGTTTTATTTCTTTTTTTGCTAAAATGGCTGATTAGCACTCTTTTTTAGTATTCTTTCATTGCAATGTCATCCTCTGTATTTAAAAATCTTCCAAAAATAAAATATACTTTTCTGAAACTTTATTTGCAGAATATTAGCTGATTTCAAGTATAATTAATCTGATTTGAAACAAATATTATTTACTTTAACTTTAAAATAACACAAAATGCATTTTTAAAACAAACAGTAGCTGTGTTTTTAACTGACTGTAGCCATGTTTATGTGATTGACGAGTGTTGACAAGTGAGGAAAAGGTGACAGCTTTATTGTTGTTCTATGGAGATTTTATGCATAAAACATAATTTAAGAAAATGACATGAGCCCCTTTTTTATATAATTTTTAAATACTCACTGATTTTAAAAATGTTGGAAAATATTCTCTGTAATCTAATTTTAGAAATGTTGACTTTAAATTTACTATAGTCATCGATCTTATTTTCTGATAATGTTGTGTATGGTCACCCATAATTTCAAAATGGGCACATTTATACACATAAAAAAAATTATTATAAAAATCTTATTGCATGATGAATAAACATTATTTATGAGTTCAAATGCCCCTTAAGGAACTGCATTCCTGATCAAACTGAACTCATAAATAATTACATTGGTCACGCTACTATTACGTTATACCTATCTGACCACAGCTCCAGTAGAAGCCAATTAAACACACACACAAATTTACCAAACTCCATTCGAAATATACTAGTAGAAAATACAAACATAATAACGTCATCCACATTTAAAAAATATTAAAAATAATGGAAGCCTTAATAATAAAAAAGAAAAAGCCAACTCTCAATAATATTAACTATGAACACAGCTACAATGTGCTGACCGTGTTTGGAAAATAAAACATACCTATAACTTTAGATAAATACACACAACTCATACATCCAGTTAAAAAGTAAAAATAAAATCATCTGAAAGCATTTGGAATTACAGAATATTTGGACAGTTTCGAATACAAGAAAAGTTAAATAAAAAGCTTAATCACAATACTTTGTCTGCCATCTTTAATGAAATATATATAAATGAGGGATTGCTGCCTAAATACACAATTATATATATATATATATATATACACACACACACACACACACATACACATACACATATATATATATATATATATATATATATGTATATTCTTTTCTTTTTTTTCTTTCGAGTATTGATGATATCCAGTAGGCAGCTTCCTACAAGTACTGTAAGTCTTTCATTTATCTAGGCCAACCATACAATATTTACTGTAATAATACAAATGGATAGTCTATAATATATTCATATGGTACTAGTGGACTATGGTGGTGACAATGATCCAAAAGCAACCCAGTGTTTGCACTCTTGAACACCACACTGAAACATCAGCTGAGAGTTGGATGTAAATATACTGTGTGCTGAGAGGCCTTGTGGCAACAAGTACTAGTTGTTTCTGATGCAAATAGGTAAAACATTGTGTTAATCTAATTAATAGTAATCACAAATATTTAATAATAATACCTTCAAGATTTGATAATTTGCTGTGACTGAAAGAAAAATGAGTCAGCTCCATAGAATTGCTTGTATAGTAAGCTATTAAATCCTCAAATAATTTAAAAAAAAAAATATCTAGCTATAATTATCTAGGTAACCACTCATAGTGTCTTAGTATACAGGGCATTTTTATATAGCAGAACAATGTTTATATTAAGGAAAGGAATAAATTGAAAATACTTTTAAGCTCCCCCAATACTCTAATTATTTCATATTCAATGCAAAGCAAAAGACTCGTAAAATATTTTAAAATAGAAGATTGGACCATTCTGAAAAATCCAACAAATCAAAATATAATTTTCTAATCACCAACTTTATCACAACTACAATTGCAAAGAATTTAAGCTTAACATTTGTTACATCTAAAATAATAAGAGACTTAATACAAAACAAAATAATAATATGGTAAAATTTGAAGGAGGAATTTACTCTATCAACTGTAATGATTGCTACAAGGAATACATTGAAGAAACCTCAAGGAATTTAAACAAAAGATTATATAAACACAAAAGGAATCTTTTACAAAACAACACATTAAATGCATTAGTTACTCACTGTGATAAGACTGATCACAACTTTGATTTAAAAAATGCTGATTTAATTAATTCTAAGACATTCGGTAAAACATATATATATATATATATATATATATATATATATAAATCAACTCTACCACAACTACAACTGAAAAAAGTTATCTAAGCTTAACATAAAATTTGTTACAACTACTTCTAAAACAATGAAAGACTTAACACATAACAAAACAATAAGCTAAAACTTGAAAGAGGAATTTCCTCTATTACCTGTAATAATTGCCATGAGGAATACATTGGAGAAACCTCAAGGAATTTAAATAAAAGATTATATAAACACAAAAGTGATCTTTTACAAAACAACACACTCACGAGTGTGTTGTTTTGTAAAATATAGTCTGATCATAATTTTGATTTAAAAAAATGGTACTTGAATTAAAAGAGAAAGCAATTTCCTAAGATGAAAATGTATAAAAAGTATTTAATTGTTAACTTATAATTTTGTTACAAATATTCTCTATCCACAACTCAATTGCCATTTTCAATTCCTATTATTAGAAACTATATTGTAAATACTATCTGTTAAAAATGACAGGCTTATTTACAAATAATTTGGCATCTAGGATCAGAGTGTAGCATCTGTGTTCTGTGTGAAAACATTTTATATATGGCGATTATTTATGAATGGCAATATTGTTATAATATACACTGACATTTTTGAATAGGTTCAGTGAAATTTGGATCTTTATCATATACACATATCTTTTATGAAATTGCTTCAGAAAAATGTACACCTGATATTCTTCTTAAGAAAGCTTTGGTAAAAAGTATGCATAATATGTTTTATAAAATTGCTTAAGCAAAATGTAAAGATTTTTCTTACTAAATTGCTTCAGCAAAATGTACATATGATATTTTTCTTAATAAATTGCTTCAGCAAAATGTACACATATTTACCTTACTAAATTGCTTCATCAAAACGTATGTATGATATTTTTCTTATGAAATTGCTTCAGCAAAATGGGTGCATATTTTTCTTAATTACTTTAACAAAATGTGCATATGATATTTTTCATAATAAATTGCTTTAGCAAAATATACACATAATATTCTGATCTCATTGCTTAACCAAAATGTATACATTTTCCTTACTAAGTTGCTTCAGCAAAATGTATGCATGATATTTTTCTTATGAACTTGCTTCAGCAAAATGTACGTAGGATATAACCTGCAAATTAAGTAAAACACTGAAGAATAATACAAGCAAAAACAATAAAAATAAAATAAATCATTTAAGAATATTTTAAAATATTTTGACAAAAACGTCATGGCTTTCAAATTGAAATCTATAGAAGGTCTACAATGAAAACACTCATTTCTATGTGTTTATAAAACAATATATTTAGCATTAAAAGAACTACTTCATTAAAAAGAAGACAGAAAGAACACAAGAATTACCTGCATAATCTGTGTTACATTCTGCTCACTTTTGTTGGTGCGTTGAATGGTATTAATATTTTTGATGTTCCATATACGTACGGTTTGATCCTGAAATAAAAACAAAGATTCCAAAATGATTTTCAGTTGAAAATAAATTCTTTCCTTTAGCAGTCTTTCACCAACTGATCAACTTCATTCACCGTGACAATTTTTATTGGCGTTGGTTTGAGCCAATGATTTTACAAGCATCTTTAGTGATAGATCATATATACAGTACTGTACAAAAGTCAAGGGCAACTTTAAACAATAATACATTAATAATACATTTTTTTATTAATTTTCTGCTTCTAAAGGGATGTTTTGTACCCCTTTTTTCACAGATGATACATTGACTCAACAAATGACATTTACATAGCTAAAACTTTTACAGAGGTTTAAAATTTGAGGAAAAAACTATTCACTTACCTAGAAAAATGGCTGCATATTAATCTTAGATCAATTTGTATAAGTTAGAACAAAAGGAAATTTTTGCAAAAATTTACATTTTAGTGTTATGTGACATTAAGAACCAGATAGATAGATAATTAACTGACATAGATATTCACAGATAGATAGAAACAAACTTAGATAATTATAAATATATGTAGATAGATAGATGGTACCTAGACTCTGAATTTAAGTGCAGTACTAGGTTGGTGGCAAGGTCTCATCAATTTACAGTTGAAATGGCTAATCGATGTAACTATAAGTTCTATGCTAACAGCTTCTTCTACCACACTTTTCACTTATGGAACTCTCTTCCGGCTTCTTGCTTTCAAGTCCACTTTCATCTTCAAAAATGTAAATGCAATGTCAATCATTATCTTCAGTCTTCTTAATTCTTATTCTTTTATTGTCCTCTCTCCTTAATAAGAGTTTTTTCATATTTTCTAACATTTGGTAACCTCTTGCCCTTTAGTGGCTTTATTGCCTTGCTTGGGGTTGAAATGATTAAAAAAAAGATAGATGATGGCTATAAATCAATTTCAAGCAATGTCATCACTTGATCTATCCTCTCACATGAGAGGCATGGATGTAGCTTTTTAGTTCTACTCGGGTTTTACATTCTGTGATAGATAGATAGATAAGGAACATAAAGAGATAGACAGATAATTATCTGACATAAATATTTATAGATATCTATGAATAGATAGGCAGACCGACAGGCATATCATAATCATCCTTCGACCTCCCTATGGTTGGTTGGAACTCCATTGACAATCATTTTCCACACTCTTCTGTTGTGCATTGCTATCTCCAGAGCCTCAATATCCAACCCTGAGTCCCAAGCTATGGTGTCTAGGAAAGTCAATTTTCAAAGATGAGACAATTTTCCTGTCCGCTCGGTGGCAGTGGCTGGCAAACTGTAATCATTTTTGTTTGAGCTTAAGAGAGATTTGGTCTCAGTTCTCCATAAATTGTGTTAAGCGACATATAGATGAATAAAGAATATAGAAACTGTATCCTTCTTGAAGGTTAAGGGCTTATGGCTATATCACGTTGAAACACAGGTTATCATATGCTCACCAGTTAAACAACATCGAGACTTGTCAGAACCTAGATGGGTGACTGCTTGGGAAAATCAGCTGTTGTAAGCTTGGACGTGCAGCTGGTGTAATGGATAACAACAGCACAGAATTGGAAATCGGAGAGCCAAGTTCCAATTATGGTTGGGTTCACTATATCCACTTACATGCAAATACCCCGCTAGGAAAGGTATGAATCCCTCTTTTCTCTTCCTAACTATTGGTTAATTAATAGGTCTTGCATCAGTAACTCATTATTATCTCCATCAAATGTCTACAGTCTAAAATTATTTTCTGACTTTAAATAACCTGCAAAATGTTAGTAATCAATAAAAAAGAAATCAGTGAGTCTTGAAGGAGTGAAAATAGATAACGGATGATCAGAACTATTGAAGAAATGGATGTGCATACTGACCTTCGAACAAGAAACTAACCACTCTTGGTTTTGACTGATACCCACGTCTTCAACCCATCCAGTGTGCTCCTGTATATGGTAAGAATAAGAAAAAGATATTGTAAATATGTGTCATTTCAAATCAACTGGCATTTCAGATTCTGATCTTTCTTTTGTAATGCTTAATTTTGCTATTTATTCTGTACTAGAAAGACTTGTGAAAATGTCACGGATTTTGGATTTTCATTTTCTGATGAATCTTAATTCTTAACACAATATTGCAATAACAATCATAAATATGAATGCTGGTCATTATGTCAAGAAGGAGTACTTTGAGGTGGCATAATGGTTAGCAAGCTTTTTTCACTAGATCCATTACAGCTTAGTAGTGAGTTCAATCCTCACTGGGTGCTCAACACTTTCGGCCTTGTGCCACATCTAAGCTATGCTTATGAAATCATTAGGGCACTTCGACATGGTATAACAGTTAGCAAGCTTGTCTTGCTAGATTAATTATGACTGAGTAGTGAGTTCGATCCTCACTGGGTTCCCTGTATTTATGGCCTTGTGCCATATCTAAGCTATGCATAGAAAATCATCATTATGTTAAGAAGTAAGGGGGGTACAAATGAAAAGATCTGAAACTGACAACTTTTTTCTCTTTCACTGAAGCAGACATTAAATACATGAGAGTGCTATCACCTCTTCCATTGTTTCTTTTTCTCACTGACACCATGTAGAGTCTCTGATATATCTTTTCCGTCTTTCCATGCAGTCATTATTTATGAGGTGTTAACAGGGCATAATTTTGTGAGGAACCTTGAGATGAATAGCAGAAGCACCAGACCAGATACGGCTCCAGTATTCAATGCAGGGATGGACAATAGATTTATAAATGTGCAAGAAGAATTCTGACAAGAAGAATTGTCTGGCATGGCATAGTGAACCAACTTTCCTAGCAGTAGATGTAGCAATTGATTCAATATAATCACTGCACCCTTCATGTCAGTGGAAAACAGGAATCCAAGAAGGCCCAAAGTGTTGCTCCCTTGAAGTTTAGCATCAGCCATGTATAGAGTCACAAAGAACTGTACCAAATAAGAAAAACCACATCATTTAAGGACTACCAACAGCTGCAACAACTAAAATGGATAGCACATGTAATAATCAAGATGTTAACATTCCACATAATCAGGGTGTTAACATTCCACACCACTTTAAATGGAATATTTCAAAGGAAACCCCCATTAATATTAGAGAGAGCGATGAAGGCTATTGGACTTGGGAAAACTGTTTTCCTAAAAAAAGTGTTTTAAGAGAAAGATTTTATAAATTTCAGCTGGAAATAGTACTGGCTGCTTGATCAATGAATACTGAATGTTTCCTTATAGGGAAACAGTTAATGTTACCATTAGCATTACCATGCTGATGGCAAGCAGAAAAGGTTCTCTGTGGTGATTAAATGAACGCAGTTTTGTCTTAGAGGCATTAAAATAAGATTTTATTGTCAAATTAATCTTGTATAACAATCTTTTAGCATCATTGGAACTTTGGTTGGATTTTAGAAAAATATTAAAAGAGAGAGCTGGAAAGAAATACCATGCCTATGACTTTTGAAACATTTGTTCATTTTGAAATTCTACCATGTCAGACAAGTTAGAACTGTACTGATTTAAAGCAGGGAGCTATTACAGCCTCCTGCCCGCCTGAGAGCTTCAGAAAGATCCAGGGGAGGCAGTATGAAATCAAGTGGCAGCCTAATGGTGGCAGAGGCACATCTGAACCCTAATATAGTGCCACGCACACGCATTGTGCCTGAAGTGTAGCTTGCCTTCACTTTACAGTGTATCCTATTTATATAACAATTATTGAAGAAAAATATACGGAAAAAACAAACAAAAATCCTTATATGCAATTATGCTGTTTTAATGTTAATATAATGTCAACGTCGGACGTTTCGGTCTAATAGACCATCTTCAGGACATATTCATAAAATATAATTAACATTATCAATTCAACATGACAAAGACGATGGACATAAGAACAAGACTTATCCAAACAGATAACTGAAAGATCAGCATTCCATTTAAACATGGTCACGTTGTTGTCACGTGGGCGATGCTGTGAAAACATATTCCTAAAATTTGAGTATTTTGAATGAAAAATGAAAAATGAAAAGAATTCTATTTTGATCTAAAATTTATATGTACGCTTGTCGAGCATTAATCTCGCTAGAAACGGGGAAATACTAAAGAAGCCAGGTCTAGTATTCACTATGCGTGAGATGGATATTATGCCTGCTTCATAAATCCGCCTAAGATTTTTATTATGAAAATATTTTAAAATCTTCACGGAATCAAAATCGAAATTATGATCTGCTTTAGTTGTTTAAATTTCCGAGGCGAATATCTCGTTTATGTTCGAAAACACGAGATTTTATGGACCTACATGTTTCACCCACATATTTTAAATCACAGTTTTTGCATGAGATTTGGTAGATGCAAGCATTGGATGTAATATGTTGTTTGCTGGTGCTATTTAATAAACAGCATCGCCCACGTGACGACAACGTGACCATGTTTTAAACGGAGCGCTGATCTTATAAAACTTTCAGTTATCTGTTTGGATAAGTCTTGTTCTTATGTACATCGTCTTTGTCATGTTGAATTGATAATGTTAATTATATTTTATGAATATGTCCAGAAGATGGTTTATTAGACTGAAACGTCCGACGTTGACATTATATTAACATTAAAACAGCATAATTGCATATAATGTAAATACTGTACATAATACCTCATCTCAGAAATATAGACAGACTCATAAGGATTTTTGTTTGTTTTTTCCATATATTTTTCTTCATACTGTTGGATCTATATCCATATATTTGCTTACATAACAATTATTATAGGAAATTCCAAGAGACTCATTTGACATGCAATACTAGCACCAAGGAAATCCAATCAAAGGTGGACTATACATTTGGATGGGAGGTGTTAGGGGTTGTATGTTGTTATACAAGGGGGAGGCACCCTCCCACTAAATGGGAGAAAGGAAATGAAGCGGCCATCTTACATTTATTTTTATTCTTTCTGTATTATCCTTTAAGTCCCAAATGATTATAGATTCATCATAGCTTCCAGAAATCAGGTATTGACCTACAATTCATCATAAAATAGAAATAAAAAAAAGCACAAAATAAAAAAGTATATTTACACAATATATTGAAACAAATTTTAGTACAAAATTTTAATTTGTTTTTATTATAGAGTTTTTGCTATACAAACATCATCAATTATGTATTTTAAGTTAAATTTACACAAGGTATCTCCACTTTTTCACCAAAAAAGAGCATAGCATGATGAAAACGACCACAAGCATGATGAAAAGTTTTATCATCAAAATGTTTATGTTATTATTAAGAGGAAAGACCAAAGTATTTTTTGATTATTTTATTAATTTTTTTAAATCCTTTCTAGCACTTTTGAAATTTTAGTTAAAAATCTTGTTTTTTTTTGTTTTTTTTGCATCAGTATTGGGCCAAAGATTACTATGGGAATTTTAGCATCTCTTTGATGTTAAAAATACATTGTTTTGGAAATTCTTGCAAAACCAAATTGTCAGATTTTAATGAGGTTTTCAGAATTTTTTTTAAATCTTGGTAAAAATAATTTTTTTTAAATCTTGGTAAAAATAATCTTTTTAAAAAATCTTGGTAAAAATAATATTTTTTTAAAATCTGTTATCCACACTTAATTTTATGAAATTTTGAGAAATTAAAATTCCACCCTCTTCATATTTATATTAGATAAAACCAGGACACATTGGAGAATTTAGATCATCAATTTGTTTTTGTCAAACAGAAACATTTACTGAAAATCTGCTCTGAATCATAAAATAAAAATGCAATAAAACTATGACATTATTTAATTAGAAAAGCTTTTAATTGCTTTTTATTAAGGACACTATTGTCTCAAGAAAAAATTTTTTTTGATGAATAATTAATTTTCACAAGAATTGTTTTCAGTTTTTAAAAATTTTAATTAGAAAAATATATTAAGTTTTAAATATTTTAGAGTTCTGTATTAATTTCAGCCATTTAAATTATATTATTAAGTGAAAACTATATTTATTAACCACAAATGGTAAAGTTTAATACAAGTCTTCAAACATTAAGATTTTTAAAAGAATTTTTAATCTTTTTATGTAAATAAGTTGTTAAATATGAGGCCTGATCAAAAAGTATTGGGACTGGTGCTATAAAAAAACAAAACAAACTGCAACACACATCAATTCAGCATTTAATCTCCTTCAAAGTAGTCCATTTCTAAAGCCACATACTTTATCCAGTGTTGTTTCCATTGATTGAAGCATTCCTGGAACTCTTTTTTTGGGATAGCAAGAAGATACCTTGTCATATTCTCTTGGATTTCCTCAGCATCTTGATATCTTGTTCCTTTCAAGTGGAATTTGAATTTTGAAGAGGAAAAAATTGAAAGAGGTAAGATCTGGGGAATATGGTTGTTGTCGAGCATAGGAAATATTCTGTTTGGCTGAAAACTACTTCACAAGCCATGGTCACTGATGGAACCCCGGTGGTGTAGTGAGATGACCACACTCTTACACACTCTTTCCAAGCACTGATATTACATATCAGTTCAGTACTCTTTTCTTTGTTTCAAATTAAATTTTCTCATTTCTTAATACTTTGCTTAGCTTTTGGTAGGCATTTTCACTAATTCAATGTATCTTTGGATTTCAGTCTCAAATTTCTGTTGTTTTTCTGTGTGAGCAACTCAGATGTCAAAAAAAAGAAGGTTTATGATTCAATTCATAGACAATTGTAATCGTGCTTTTTGTATTAAATTGAAATGAAAAAAAAAGAAAAGATACTTTCCATCTTGGCTGAAAACGCAACTACTGATGGAACCTTCATGACCCAACAGACTGACTGGACCCTGATTCCTGATTGAAAAAAAAGGATTTACATACATTGTAACAAATTCATGAATACTATTTACATTATTTGGACTATTGTCCTCATCTTTGTTGCCATATTTATCATGTTTCGGCTGTTGTACACTCCGGCCTTCTTCAGGTGGTTGGAATGTCGGACTGAAACCTTTATTTCATTTGCTGGGGTAGACTGTTCTAGTTCCGCATGCCATGTCTAGTGGATGTCAGTTATCAGTTATCTCCTGTTAATTCACCTCTCCAAATTCTCCATTGCCTCAACCAAGTATTGAACTCACAACTCTTTGGGTCCTGTCACTGGATCTAACCAACGCCTTTATCCACTGTGCCATTTTTAAGGACATCTGTGTATGAATTCCTGGGATTAGGCATTGGTTAGATCCAGTAACAGGACCCAAAGAGTTGTGAGTTCAATACAGTGAGCAAAATAAAGGATTCAGTTTGACATTCCAACCACCCAAAGAAGGCTGGAGCATACAACGGCCGAAACAGGATAAATATGAAAACAAAGATGAGGACAATAGTCTGAATAATATAAATAGTGTACATAATACTTCATTTCAGAAATATAGACAAATGCATGAATGTTTAGTAATGGATTTGCATACATCATAACAAACTATTTACATTGTTCAGACTGTTGTCCTCATGTTTATTGCCATATTCACAAAAATCTCCTAAAGCCAGCCTAGACATGAATAGAATACAGTGAGTTAGAGAAAAACAACAATAACAGAAATTGTAATATGAGTCCTGGTAAAAACATCAAAATTGAAATATTAGGCTTATAAGTCCCAAAAATATACCAAAAAGGCATTAGTTCAGTCCAATACCCGGCCACATCAGAGGAAACAAAAACTTGGAGAGTTGAGTTACTGCAAGGAATTAACTGAAACTGAGATATCAAGAAAAGGTACGGCACGTGAAATTAGAACAATCTACCCCTGTGGACTAAATAAAGGGTTCAGTTTGAAACTCCAACATATATCCCCTGAAGAAAGCCGGAGCGTACAACAATTGAAATGTGAATATGTCAATAAAGATGACGACAATGGTCTAAATGATTTAAATAGTATAAATAGTTACATTACTTCATCTCTGAAATATAGACAGATATCACAAGCAACATATAAAAGTTTAGTTGAGGATTTGTAGCAAACATGGATAAACGTGCCTGCAATAAAACCGTGTCAAAAAAAAAAAGGATGGTTTTTCCCATGACGTTGCTTTTTTAACTCCTTTCACTCTTTGGCAATATTTATTGCTTTAAAAAGCATTATTTAGAATTGTAATAAAACCTAAATATATGAAAGTGAATTTATACATTTTCTATGTTCTTGAGAACTGACAGCAAAATTGTAAACACTATTAGATTGTTTATTTACACAATTATTTATTGGAATGGTTGGCAAAACATTGGCTAATTTTAAAAATTTAATTATTATTTTAAAAATGTCATAATCATCTAAATGTAGAGGTTGTTTTTTTAAAAGTATATTTTATAAAAACTTGAAATGTAAAACTTGAAACCCCTTCGTGCTGGGGGGTTCCCTTTGAGTATTCAGTTAAAGAACTAAGGTAGGTGTACTTGTATTTTTTTGGCCTTGTGCAATTTTTTTACTTCTTCAAAGTTTTTCATTTTTTTTACCATTTTTAAGGAGTGTAATCTTTTGGCAGAATCTGTGCCTTTTTCTAAAAACTGTAACACTTTTTTCCTTATATCTGATGATAATCTCCTTTTTCTAAAAACAGTAACACTTTTTTCCTTATATCTGATGATAATCCCCTTTTTGTAACCTCAGAAAATTGTTATCCTGCTGTAATAGGCACACAAAAGAAAATTTTTGTGCAACCTTGTATCTTTTTTGGAAATTTTGTTGTAAAATAAATGTGTTTTTCCTTTTAAAATTTTGTGCAGTGGTTGTCTTGTTTTGTAATTTTGCATCTATTATTTTGACTTTACATCAAAGTTTGTCAATATCATCCAACAACTGTATGAAGATGCCATGTGTTAAGTCATCCATGACAAGAAGCTGACAGAACCATTCAAACTGGCATTCGTCAGGGATGTCTGCTCTTGCCAACAATCTTCCTGTTGGTGGTCGACTGACTAATGTGGCAGGCCATGGCAGGCAGGAGAACTGATTTACAGTAGACCTCCATGAAGCAGCTGAAAGATCTGGACTTTGCAGACAAAATCAGCCTTCTCTCCCATAAGCAACAAGATGCACAGAAGCTGAATCATGTTGCAGAAGAAGCGGAGAAGACTGACCTCCAAATCAACATCTGGAAGACAGAGGTCATGAAGGTAAACAACAGACAACAGAACTCAGTGTGACTACACCAAGGAGATATCAAGGAATTGATAAGTTTGCCTTCCTGGGAAGTGTCGTCAGTAAAGACGTGGGGAGGGGACAGATGAAGACATCAAGTGCTGAATCAACAAAGCCTGACATGCTTTCAACACTCTGTGGCCAATCTGGAGATCAACAGCCCTTTCAATTTACAACAACATCGTCAGTCCTACTCTACAGCTCAGAAACCTGGCGGGTAACCAAGACCAACACCCACAAACTTCAGACATTTACCAACCGATGTCTCGGGAACATCCTTAATATCGGGTGTCTCTAATGACCAACAATGGGACAGAACCAGACAAGCACCAATCAAGATTGACATCAAGAAATGGAAATGGGGATGGATTGGCCACACACTCTGTAAGCCTGCTTCTAGTGTCATCAGGCAGGCCCTTGTGATTGGAATCCATAAGGGAAGCAAAAAGTGGGTCGACCAAAACAGACTTGGTACAGAAGTGTTGATGCAGAGGTGAAGGCAGCTGACATGACATGGGCTGAGCTGAAGAGATTCGCCTGAAACTGCATCTGTTGCAGAGATGTTGTTGTTGTTGTGGTTGCCGCCCTATGTTCCACAAGGAATCAAAAGGCATAATAATAAAAAAAATTTTGATTTGCTGTTTTTACTAAGTTTTGTGTCTGGCACAAGAACTTGGATTTGGTAGGAAATAAAATCTTTATAAATTGTCAATCCATTCAAACTTTATAAAATGGTAAATAATAAGAATTTCCTTATCATTGGATCACATATTTTGATAATTTAGTAAATGTTTATAAATTTATGAATAAAAAATTGTTTTCACCTTTATTTCTTTATAAATTGGTAAATGATAAATATTGCATTGCATTAGTTCTAATTGTATTGGTTTTTAGAATGTTGTAAATATAAAATTATTCTTGTAATTAAACAATCTAATAAATAAATAGTGTTTAATATTTTTGTTGTCAATTTTCAAGAACAAAAAGAACAGTATAAATTCACTTTCATCATATGTTTAGGTTTTATTCCAATTTTAATACTTGTTTTTTAAAAGGATAAACATTGCTGAAGAGTGAATTTAGTTAAAAAAAAAGTGATGTCATGGGAAAAGACGCCCTTTTGACATTCTGATTGCAGGCAAGTTTTTCTGTGATTGCTGGATTTGCATACATCATAAGAAACATATGAAAGTTTAGTAATAGATTTGCATACATCATAAGAAACATATGAAAGTTTAGTAATAGATTTGCATACATCATAAGAAACATATGAAAGTTTAGTAATAGATTTGCATACCTCAGAACAAACATATGAAATGCATGAATATTTAGTAAATGATTTGCATACATTGTAACAAATGCACAAATATTCACTAGAAAATTTCTTGTTTCTCAGGGAGTAAGTTGATAATAGGAGTTATTTGTATCAATGGATGCAATGTGGTTGTCTTTTTGAAGTAATTTCCAGGTTCAGATAAAATGAGTTGGGATCCAATACAAATCAAATATGGATTGGAATCCAACAGAATGAGAAGATAAACAACAAATTTTTACACAAAAAAACTCCTATTATCAGGTTATTCCCTGAGAAACAAGAAATTTCCTACTCAACTTCTTCATATCTCATTCTCTAATGAAGCTTTAATAAAAGTGAAACATGTTAGATTGATAAACATATCTATCTATTCACTTTACTTATCTAACACATTTTGTTTGTTTCTATCTATCTATCTATCTACTATACATATTTATCACAAATTCTTTGTTTCTTTATATTGTCTATCTCAATTCTTTCTTTCCATAGTATTTCTTTTTCTTCTATGTGCCATGTTCCTTCAGGACATTAGCAATAATGGCTCTCCACAATTTCCTGTCTTTTGTAACTCTTAATAAATTTTGACATTTTGTTATCTCTTCTAAACCTTGTTCTGCCATCCATTTGCTAAAACTCATTCTTTTTCTGTGTTGTGTCCTTTCAGGGCATTGGCAATCATGGCTCTCCACAATTTCCTGTTCTTTGCAGCTCTTAATAAATTTTGTCATTTTGTTGTCTATCCTAAACCTTGTTCTGTCATCCATTTACTCAAGTTCATCAGGGCTTACAGCCATATGACATTAAAACACCAGTTCTCATACAATGACTGAAGTTAAGCAATGTTGAGTCTGGTCAGTACCTAGATGAGTGGATATCAGGTCTCGTAAGTTTGAATGTGAATGTGGTGTAATGGAGAACAGTTTGGAATTAAAAATCAGAGGGCCAAATGCCAATTCTGGTTTGGTTCATTATATTCGCCTACACACAAAATGGTATGAATCCCACTCTTTTGCCACCAGCTATGGGTTAATTAGTAGGAATTGTATCAGTAAATCATTATTATCTCTTCAAAATTCTTATACTTTAAAAATACTTTCTGGCTTTAAATAGCCTGCAAAAGGTTGATAAGCCATAAAAAACAAATCAATTAACCAATCTAAAGAAGGGAATGAAATAGACTTAGTCAGAATTTGAACTTGACTCTGTTATTTAATTTCCTTTGCCAATAATTGTTACACCACTCTCACATCCATGTACTTTGAGTATATCAATTAAGAATTGATAATCATCACGAAAAATGTCTGGATATTTTGTGTCTTAGATTTCAAAACAATAATAATAAGATAAAGCAGAACTAATACTACTAATAATAAAATAAAAATTATGATAATTGGTCTCACCTGTATTTTCCAGTTGCAACATCCCAGATGAGTATCCACTTATCCCAACCAGTTGTGGCCAAATTACGATTATTGGCATCAAAGGCACAATTTGCCACAATATTTTTATGGCCGCTAAAAATAAGAAGAAAGAAAAAAGAAAACTCAATGAAATTTAAACAAAATTAATTCATATTTCTATTCAAAATATTCTCATTTCCATTTTGGATAAATTCATAATAAAACATTCATTAAATAATTAAAGCTGTTTATTCCAATAATTTTTTCAACCTGGTAGTCTTAAAATCTAAAGAACGAATGAAAGAAAACCAGAAAAAAATCTTGAAGATGATCAATATTATAAATTAACATATATGGTTTCTTCACTACACAGGAATTACCATGTTTCAAAAACTAAAGCTAAAAACTTCAAATTTAATTATATAATTAAATTAAAAGCATTAGTTCTGTTTCCTCTTCAAGCAAATTTTGGAATAACTTATTTTTAAATGTGACACCATTTAAGGGCACAAAAAGAAAAAGGAAAAAAAAAGAAAGGAAAAAGAGAAAGGAAAGAAAGGAAAAGAGAGGCGAGACTTAAGCTTAGATGATAAAAGAAGCCACCCACGACCGGGGACATTGACAATGTTATTTTGATAAGTAGCAAATGGTGAAAGGTTTCATTACCATTGCAGAAAAATTCTAAATGGATAAGAAAATCGACTATGTTCTGGTGGCGGACTTGTGTTATCGGGGATAGATAACAGCCACTTAATGCTGGCGAACATCTAATTAACAAACCACAGGCCGGCTAGCTAAAACTCCGAGGCAATTCGACAATGTTATTTTGATAATGGAAAAGATGGTGAAAATTTTGACCACCAGTGTCGTAGAACTGTCTGACAAAGAACAGGTGAATACAGAGCTTTGGATAGATAAGAAAAATTAACTGTGTCAGAGGGGGCAAACAATATTGTCGGGAAAGGATTTAATAGGTCGTCTGCTAACCACACACGAAGTCAACCCTAGGTCACGTCTTGGCCGTTTTGACAAGACATCTATGGGTGTTAGAATTCGGTTGTGATAATAAAACTATGTTATCAGAAATTGGCACCAAGAATGCAAATATGGCTAGGACAATGGAACTGTTTTTTCGAGACGACGGTCAACTGTGTTTCGCTAGACGACTACCCCACTTGATAATTGGCATTGATAGATCCCAGGTGACATTGGGGGATGAGAGCTGCGATTAAGGAAAGAAAAGGAAAAGAAAAAGATAATTTTTTTTTGTTTCCTGGACGCTATTGGCCGAATGATAACGAGGGCCAGGCGGAGGTGATCACGTGACACAAGGAGGGAAGCCGCCGCCGCCCATTTAGAGGATAGGCATGAGAAGTTGCTACGAAGAAGTGGGGGGAACCGTTGACGCCCCTCTGAAATATGATGAGATATCCATATGAGAATAAGAGAAGGTGGGAGTAATAGAAGACTTCCAAAAATGGAAAGGAGTGGAAAATTCCTGACCAAAAATAGAAGAAGTGGATGTGAATTTGGAATTATCGAGGAACCTCCAACCCCGACAAACCCACCCCAGTTTTGGTCGACATCCATATAAGCAAAGTCGCAGCGAGCAAAAATCAGTTCAGTTCAGAAGAGTTCAGTCCAGAGTGCTCAGTTGAAGCAGGCCTCGCATCAGCTGACTAAGATTCGCGCAACTTCCGAACTCATCTTCAATCCAAGAACAATTTATTTTGAAGAGCAACTTAGATCCATACCACCAAAATAAGTTTTTCGACTATCGCCTGAAGGCACACCAAGAACCAATTTCTTAAAGAACAGACAACTTAAGATGTTAAAACTCACCTAACAAAAACAACATGTCACAATCCATATAGCGGGTCGGGAGATATGACGCAGTCCTATGTATCCAGCAACCAGATATAAAGTATTGTTATCCTTTTTTTTTGATACCTTGAACTTTTGAGTTATCATTTTATTTTCTTTTATGCATATTTGTGTGATACCACCCTCGTGTGAACTCAATTTGCATTACGGCCCCAACGACTGATTGATTTCGTCTGCTTAAGATCAATTCACAACGTGGGTAGGCGGACTGTAGATCAACGCAGTTACTTTGGTAACCAGACGTTGGAAGCGAGTTGGGAACGACGACGCTGATATCGAATTTAAAGGTTAGAACGTCACATTTGGGTGGCGCGACTGATACCAAGCCAGTTGGTTGTCACAGGACGGGACAACACGACTGGCGCAAACAGACGGACGTCACGTTTGGAGCGCCGACACCTGAACAAAGCCGCGAGGAGCGAGCGAAGGCTGTAGAGAGGGATGTCACATAAATTTACTGAGTTTTGAACACAGATACAATTCATAATTTTTTGTTTCCAAGGATACAGAGAAATCTAATCATTTAGACAGGGGCGGTAGCGTGTTCATTTTTATTAACTATTATTCTATCAATTATGAGTTACGTTTGAAAAAGAGGTTAAGTTTAGGGAGGGTAGGGGTGTATTTTTCAACGAGTTTTGACATCCGTTCATTGCATGTCGTCTGTTTTTTTTGTATCAACGACAAAAAGTTTTTCAGCATTTTTTTCCATTAAATTTGTACTTGTATACTTAGATTCTTTCTAAAAGGGGTGTTTGGGTTAGAATACGTTATATTGAACTACAATTATAAAATATTATTTTTACTCTTAATTACTAATAGACTATATTTCTTTTTAAATCAAATAAATGTAATAGAATTACTTAAATTATTTAGAAATTATTATTACACATCAAATATAAGTATGTATATTACCAGCTCCCATTTTTTTTTTTTTTTTAAATATTATTTAAGGATAATTTTTGACAATGTCAGCAAAGAATAGCTATTTCATTTCTTTGATTCAGTAAATTTTTATTTTTTATAAACTTAGTAATATATAGTTTCTCATGTATGTACAAAGGACATGGGTCATTTAATGACCTACATATTCTAGCTTTTCTTATTAATTTTCATTTTACTGTAGGTGTTTTATTGTAGATGAGCAATATTGGGCAAAGTTTAACTTAGGACCAGGCAAAAGATCATCAAGAATTATTAATAATAGTTGACAATGCTTCTGTTATATTGTGTTATGATGTTCTACAACAAGTGATCAATAATCAACTTCCACCTGTCTCTTTCTTTACCCTGAACTTTATTTCTCTTCTACTTTGTAGAGTATTTGAGTGATGGTTGCAATCTGTTCATCTTCTCAAGTTTCCCACTAGCCTTATTTATATTTGTGTTGTTCACATGCATACCACGTCTTGCACATGGCCAGGTTTGCCCATTTCATGAAAGGGTTACCGGTGTTGTTCTTACGGACGTCCCTCTGTATGATACGGCCACCTGTCCTACTTCACATGCCTTCCTCTCTCATGGGACCACAATGCGTTTGGGTTGTGGTCCATTGCAGGAATGTCTGCCAGTTCTGCTCGTCCATTACTTTGCGGATAGTACACTGATGATGTGTGCTTTTTTTATTCCCCAAATGTTTGAGTGATGGTCGCAATCTGTCCACTTCACCAGGCTTCCCACTAACCTTGTTTATATTTGCATTGTTCACACGTGTGCCACATCTTGCATCTGGCCAGGTTAGTTCAATTCATGAATGGGTATCTAGCCACCCTCCCAGGAAGGTTGCATGTGGCACAAGGCCGAGTTTATCGTGGGTTTCCCGAGCCCGTAGGCTCGGCCAAAAAATGCCCGTATAACCCGTATAAACCAGATTGGGTTGGTCATTTTCCCCGAACGAGATTCTGCCCTTCGGCGGAGCCTCGTCCGGGTTCCTTTTTGCTCAGAGGCAGAAAGTTTGACCGTCAAGTCGAGAAGCTCAATTCATGAATGGGTTACCAGTGTTGTTCTTATGGACATCCCTCCATATGATATGGCCACCTGTCCTACTCTACATACTTAATATATTCAAACAGGTACAATCCTATTTACCAATCCATGATACCTCCTTGAACCAAAAAGGTTTAATACCTTTAGTTGTTCTCTAACTTCTTCTACAACCCCTTTCCTCCTCTCCCCCTTGAGGTTTATGTCCTGTTCTTTTTTAATGGAGATCTTGGTCTCATTTCATCTTTTTTCTGTATTGGAGTCACTATCATCCATAAGTTCATTTTCTATTGCAATATCATGCTCTGAAGAACTCACCCTTTCTTCTCTGTCAAGATCTTCTTCCATCATAATGTCTTCCTTTTCAATTCTGGGTCTTAATTCTGGGTCAGAATGGGCCATTAGGCTTTTCCATTTCTTTGGTATAATGGCTGTGTTATGTCCCCCAAGACTTGCTACTTTGTCTTTCAATTTGGGCTGAGCTGCAAAACACCGGATCCACAGCTTGACAAATTCTGGTTCATTCAATCAACTTAAACATCCTATTGTCGACGCCATATTGTTGTATTCTGTTGTACTACAATACATGATCAGTAGTCAACTTCCCTGTCTCTTATTAAGATATACAAATAGGTACAATTCTGTTTACTAATCTACTCCAATCCACTAATCACAGCTTCATTTAATAAAACTTGAAGATCAAAATAATGACTAGTCAAATAATAATAACGATAATAAAAAAAAAAAATAAAAAATGGAAAAGTAATACTCAAAAAGTAATATTCCACTGACTAAAGCTTGAGTGTTTTCTTGCAAGACTTCAAATCAAAAATCTGGATTGTACGATCCATTGAAGTTGAACTTATTTTGTCATCTTGGCTGGTAAATTTTATGCTTGTGATTCCATTGCTGTGTAAATCTGTAAAAAGAAACATTGCAATAATTTGTCTGGTAACAAACTGAATTTAATTTAATAATATTGGTTAATGCTACATTAACAAATATTACTTATTTTATTAAATAAAATATAAATCTAGCTGATTTACATTCAGTTCATCAAAAAGCAAACTAGTTATATGCCATCATCGCTGATTGGACCCTGAACTACTGCCAGTCATTAACAGATGTCCCCTGGGGAGGCACCATGCCATGAGAGACTTACATATGATCCATCACTAAAGATCCCAGTTAAATAGTCTTGTACCACCTCAGTAAGTAAATGACTCCTCATGTCATCCTCTACCTTTACGCGAGCCAGTTCAGGCTGAAAATGAAGTACTGTTGCCATATTTAGGCAGGAGCTGCCCAGACCTCACTTTCCAGTCATCATAAAGTTCAAAAAGTGTCTCTTTTGGGTGATAAATTATTTTCTACACTCCAACCTCTCTCTCACAGGCGGGATGTGGCAAGCCTCTCTCGTTGCTCTATTGCTATTTCTATGGAAAGTGCTCGGATGAGCAACATTCCTTAGTTCCACCAGCTCTGACCATCATGGAGAGGACCAGCCATGCCACTTGTAGCAAAGCACCTACATTCACCTCCATAGTCCATTGGTGAGAAGTAAATTCCACTCAAACAGTTTCTTCCTGCAAACCACTGCCCTATGGAACAGACTCCCAAAAGGATGTTTTCTTGATCATTACAATCTTAACCTGTTTAAGTCTAGAGTTAACCATCATCTTCCCCTCCTATCCACATAAACTCCCTTTTTAAACCCTCTTACCTTTAAGACAACATTTTTTTATTTCTCTTGAAATGTCACACTTTCTATGGCTCTTTGACCAACTTACACATGAGTAAATCTATAATAATAAATGATGAGCTGATTCTCTGTCTGTCACACATTGTCTGGGTGTAACTTTGCATGTGTGTTTCTCATGCATATGTGTATACCTTTTATAAGCTTGGATGGGGGAGAAGAAGAGGATTCATACCTTTTGTAAGGGTATTAGCATGTAAGTGAATATAATGGATTCGACTGGAATTCGAACTCGGCTTTCCAATTCCTCAATCCGAGCCGCTATCCATTACTCCACCGTTTACTGTATTTTAAAGACAAAACAATTTAGATTTTAAATTTGTTTAGCTGTCAGTCAAATGTCAGGTACCAAACTAGTATTCTTAAAATTTAGGAGATGAAAGAGAATAGACTGAAGCCAAATTTAAACTCTAAGCAAGGCAATAAAGCCACTAAGATGCAAGGGGTTAGTGTCAAAGAATATGAGAAAAATAAAACATTATTAAGGAGAGCGCACAATAAAAGAACAGGAATTAATCATTCATTATCCAAATATAACGATGGACATTGCATTTTTTTTTTTTGAAGATCAACGTTGACTGGAAAGCAACAAGTGGGAAGAGAGTCACACAAGCAAAAAGTATGAGAGAAGAAACTGTTAGCATAATGCTAATGGTTATATCTAGTAATTTCTATTTCAAAATGATGAGACTTAGCTGCCACTCTAGTATTGAGCTTAAATTCATAAAGTCGAGTAACCAAAGAGGAAAGCTCATCAGAACAATTACCATAAAAATATTTATAGAAAAGGCAGAGTTAAGCTACATTACAGAAGTAGGATAGTGACTGAAGCCGAGATGCCAGGTCATGACTAATAACATTGCAGATTCATCTTTGGATTTTATCGAGAATATCTAGATATATAGAAGAAGCAAGATTCAGTTCATTGGTGAACGGTTGACTTATATATGTGTAAGATAGATTCTTTAATAGGAAGATAGATTGGTAATGTTTACCTCGGTGGTGGCAGTTGCAGGATGTCCAAACTTTGGGTCATCTTCAAGATTCAGCCTTCCCTTCCTAAATTCAACTGCCCACTTTTGCACTGTTGATAAAGCTGCAGCGTCATCTGAGAAGGCGCAATGAGTTATTCTTCTTTAATAAATTTCAAAACTGTCTACACGGTCTTGTGGGGGTACCCCCCACAAGACCGTGTAAGGGTTGGGGGTAGACCTCTTTTCCACAAATGCGACATTGCAAACTTGTTATTACTCTATCACTATTTCCATGGCAAATGTTCAGATGAGCTAAACTTTTTAGTTCCACCAGTTCAGACGTTTACAGCCAGGAATTGCCATGCCACCTCTACAGAATCAAATCACTCTCATTTCCTCAATGTTCCAAGTGTAAGAAGTTCCACTCAGATTTTTCCAAAGAACTCCCACTTGAATGCCTACCGAGCCTTGTATTGGATGACACTTAGTAAAAAAAAAAAAAATTAACTTGAAGGAAAAAATTGTATGCACTTACCTGACAATCGATGAACAGGTTTTGCAGTACGAAAATCCCATATCTTGAGTTCATGATCAGAATCTGAACCACTGGCCAACAGCTGGCCGTTGTGAGAAATTCTACAACACATCACTATTCCATTGTGTTCTGCTTGCCACTAAAAACAAATTGAACACCACCCCCAGAAAAAAAAGATAAATAAAAGTTAATCTTAAATGATTTGAAAAGGCAGTCATCTCAAAGATATTCAAGAGGAATTTAACTTCAAAAATACATTCTTACTTTTTAAATGCTAGACAAAAATTAATGATAATGGTGGACAATGCATTCATCTATGACATTGGTTTATTCTGCCAGCTGGTCCGTTCAATGTTCGCTCTTGCAGCTGACTGTTGAATGGATCAATTTGATTGCATTGTCCCATGTTGTATTTGATTTAGATCATAAGGCTGGCGAGGATCAAATTGTTGGTAAGAATTGTTGAATTGGTCTGGATAAAGTGAAGCCACAAATCAAAGGAAAAATTGTAATAATGAAAATGTTTTATATACCGTTTCTTGTACAGAGCTGATGGTACAATCTCAGTTCTTCAGGTAGGAATATATTTGTCATTGAAGTTATTCAATCCTTCCTTTCTTCAAATATTTTGTGACACTTTTTTCGTCATGACTAAATCTAGACAAGGCTTCTTGAACACAGTGCAAAGTCAGAGGTCTTCTTCAGCAGCAGGAAGTCACATGAGTTTGGTGAAATGATTGTCTCTTGCCTGGTGTCTGGTGGCTTCTTTCTCAGTATAGCCATTGAGCTATCTTTTCAACCCTTAAAGTTTCACACATCTACCTATCAATAAAATTGTGTGTCTTCCATTAGTCTGTCTATCACACCCTCTAAAACAGCCATACATTGACCGATCAAAGCCAAATTTTGGGGAGAAGTGTAAACAGGTAAGGGGGTACAAAGTACAGTTGGTTTTACTAATGTGCGTAAAAACTGTGACGTAGACGTTTTGTCAAAGTATTTTTGTAGGAGAAAAAAAAAAAAAATGATGATGAGGTTTTTTTTTTCTTCTTCAGTCACCTCAAGGAAATGGATTGCGTCACTCCCTTTCTCAGCCATTACGCTGGGCAGTTGTGAAACAGACACCAACTCAGTCACACCTACTTCGACTTCCTCTTTGTCCGTCTGTCAGAGTTCAATGGAGGTCATATCAGGGAACCCCATGACGAAGGCTAGTTTGGTGAGCCTTTTCATCTCGGCTCCCTCGAACCCAGTCAATGCAACAAGCTGCCTGATTTTGTTTGCATAGACGTCCACACGTTTGCCGGTCCACCTGACCATGGTCACTTTTCTGTACGCTGAAAACGCATCATCCATAAATGTCTCCTTTAGCCTGGCTTTGATCTGATCAACATCTCTCATCTTTCTCTTCCTCTTCCATTTCCATGTAGAGAGCTAGTGCATCCCCCTCCAGGTTCAATGGCAGCTGGCTAGCCACGTCATCCACCTTGCCAAGTCTTGCCACCAGCCTGACCTTTTTTAGCCAGGCCACCACATCGCCCTGGGCAGAAAATGGTTTTATAACGTCACTGCTTATGCAAACCTTCACCATACCTGACAAAATAGCTAGTAGGAGAAAGAAAAAAAAATTATGATGATTGGGGGGGGGTTTCAAAAGGTGCAGTGCGTTGCTCACCGGCAGGCCAGCTATTTTTTTTTTCTTTCCTACAATTTTTCCAAATAAATTTCTTTGAATGGTTTGTGAAATTGAAGAAGATATAGAGTTTGCTTGTATCCATTTTAGTTATTGCTACTCTTGAAAATCTTCAAGTAATGTGTTTTTTTTGTTATTTGAGGAAGTTCTTTGTTACGATTGTGTAGCACCAGTCTAAGAGATCTGATGGAGAATAGTCTTTAAGACTTACAGGGTCCATTCACTTAAAACAACCGTTAACCATTGATCTGTTAAACTATATATATATATATATATATATATATATATATATATAATTTTGCCTTATTTGGTTACCCTAAATCACTCCCCCTCTCCCATCTCCTCTAACTATTCCTTTTATTTATGCTATATTAATTTTCATTTTTAAAATTCCCTCTTAGAATTTTCCTCTAGTTTTTTTTTCCTTTAATTCCTCATGTCTTTTGTACCTTATATATTTTTTTATTTTTTCTTATACATTTTCCTATTTCTAATTCCCCCAATTAGGCTTTATAGGATTAATATTCTCTGATATTGTTATTTAATACACATTCTCACCTTTAAGATAGATTTTTACCACCCTCCCTGACCCATGTTTGTTGCCTATCGTCTGACATACATTGAAAAGTGTGAACACTCTATTAGGTATTTTTGGCAAGTTAGGTTGACACTCTTCAATATTACTTCCTGTATAGTTAACATTTACTTCCTGCATCTTCAAATTCTATGAATGTGAATTCCATTTCATATCTGGGTTGAGAAGACAATCCCTTTTATCGTCTGCCGAAATAGTCTATTCCATACATGAGGTAAAAAGATTTTTCTTGATTGTTTATTTATATATATATATATATATATATATATATGTGTGTGTGAAAATATATAGAAAATAGGAAAGAACTGGTTAGGTAAATAATCCAAAGTTCTTTAGTATTTTTGTTATTATTTTAAAAAAATAGTGCTCGATACAAAAGTAGAGCATAAATATAATTATTTATTTAAAAATATGATTCCAACACGCTACATAAGAGTTCTCATGTTTCAAAACAAGAGCCGGAAACTTCAATATAATTATTTGAATTAAATTGAATTAAAGTACTAAGCTCTGTTCCATCTTCAAGCGAAATTTTTTTGGAATAACTTATTTCTGAAATTTACGTGTTTTAATAGCATATTCATTATTGAAATCAAAATTTCCATGGTAACGGCCAGCGCGATTGTTCATATAGAAAGGGGCACAGGGTGTTAATCATTTGTATCAGTATAGAGTTACATTCATAGATGTCAAGTCAGGGTAAGGTTGGGGTGTCTAAATTTAAAACGGAAGGTGATTTCGTCTAGTCTGGTTTACGTGTCTGTGGAGATTTTTTTTTTTTTTTTTCTGAAAAGGTTTTGTGTATATAAAAAAACTGCCGTAACATTTGTTTTTTGACGACTTCATAAAGGGTTATATCCACCACTACTACTGGCCAGACAACAGTAACTGCTGTTGATGCTTGTTTTCATTTTGATATGTCATTCACTGTCCCATCTTCACCAAAAACATTCTTGTCAGTGTTTTTTTGTCTTCATGGCTATCACATGTTGACATCAGAAAGCTGAGAGGTAACCACATGTCTAAGAGGATATCGCCTAGTGGCCATTGTGATTCTGTTGAGATCTTAGGTGTGAAATCTTTGTAGCCATGACAACATTGTTGTCTCTGCTGAAAACCAGGAACTGGAATTATGGGTAAATTCAGGTGGTTTTTTTCAGCAGTATTTACATTGAAAAGGAAATACAACTTATCACTTGATTGTTCTCATCTAGCTTTTATTTTTATTTACTGCTTGCTTAGCCGTACACACTGCCCAGCCCAGTGATTGAACACACAAATACTGTGTCACCAAATTCACAAGCCAACACTTTGACAATTCTCTATGGAGAACTTGGAGCCTTAAACCTAACCTGCCTACTGTGGAGTTGTGATAACAATGAAGATGATGACAATAGTTCAGACATAAATAATGATAACTCCTCATCTTAGAAATTCAGAAAGAGAACATCACCTTATCTAAAAAGAAAAAAATTATTCATAGATATTTTTTATGGATAATTTTTGTCTGAATTTATTTTATTTAATTTACAAGAGTAGATTGTTCTCATTCCGCTGTCCATGTTTTGGAATATCTGGTCTGGTTCTTATTTAGTACTGCTCAGCTATTGTTTGTCCCATTTCAATTGAGTCCAAATTGCCTGCTTCAGGACTACTATGTCACCAAATTCACAAACCAATGCTTTAATCCACTAGGCTATTATATCATGGGACAATCCTGAGTGCAGAATTTGGAGCCTTAAATCTAACCTGTCTGCTAATTGCTGCTGCTTTTCATGCTTGGCTGCACTTACTGAGGGTTTATTTTCTACTGTGGTTGCTGCTGTTGAAGCTTTGCTGTCATTATCTCTCTATTAACGGCTGTTGAAGCTTTGCCGGCAATTCTCTCTCTATTAACAGCTCCCATATCATTAATTTCTAAGTTAAACCTACTAATGAGGTCCTCATATCCTACACATATACACAGATTCTAAATTGTCATTTTTAACAAGGTTTTTCTTGTGATCTGGTTAACATATAATTTGTGATAAACAGAAATCAGATTGAGAAAACACAGTGAGACTAAAAAGGGAAGTTTCAAATCAAGGAAAAGAGGAAGTGGAATTATGGGTAAATTCAGCTGGATTTTCTCAGCAGTATTTTCATTCAAAAGGAAATACAAACCATCACTTGATTTGTTTCGAGGCTCCAATGGAGAAGTCTTTTATCCAATCCAGCAGTTACAAAACTGGAAAAAAGAACAAAAAAAAAAAAAGCAAACAAAAATAAATTGTTAATCTATGCAAAATAATGATAATTTCTCTGTGTGTCTCTGAATACTATCACACATACACATAAATACATACTTACATACATACATGGATGTACAGTTAACAGTTATTCAAGAAAAAAATGGGGGGGGGCTGCAGGCTGAGTTCAAATTAAAGTAAAGGACATTGCATTCAATTAATTCTTTATGAAAGACATGAATCCCTATCTTTAATGTGGGGTATCCGAACCTGTATGCTCAGCAAAAAATTCCCCATAGACCCCGTATAAAATGGGTGTCGGGTAGCTGTTTCCCAGAGATGAAATTCTGCCCTTCGACATAGCCTTGTCTGGGGATCTTCTCTGCTCGGAGGCTAAAAATTCCCCATAGACCCAGTATAAAATGGGTGTCGGGTAGCTGTTTCACGAGATGAGACTCTGCCCTTCGACATAGCCTTGTCTGGGGATCCTCTCTGCTCGGAGACAGAGAGTTTGACCAGCACAGCTGGAGACGAAACTCCAACTCTAGACCACATACAGTATTCACTACTGTACCGATTATCGTCCTTAGGTATGTTACAACAATGAGAAAAAATGAGAAAAAGAAAAACAATATTAAGGAAAGACAAGAAGAAAAGAACAGGAATTAAGAAACAAAAGATAACAATTGATTCTTCTTCTTAAATTTTCAAAGATCAAAGTTAACTGGAAAGTAAGAAGCTGGAAGAGAGTTCCAAAAGTGAGAAGAGTGAGAGAAGAAACTCTTAGCATAGAATTTCCGGTTGCATATAGCCATTTCAACTGTAAAATTTTGAGACCTAGCTGCCAATCTAGTACTGCACTTAAATTAGTAAAGTTCAGGTACCAAAGAGAAAAAAGTTCATCAGAACAATTGCCATAAAATCTTTTATAGAAAAGGCACAAGAAAACTGTTACTGCATTGGTAGAGTGACTGAAGACAAGATACCAGGTCAGGACTGATAACATTGCAGATGCTTCTTTGGATTTTGTTGAGAATTTCTAAATACATTGTAGAAGCATCAAGCAATATCTGACAGTAATATTCAATGCATGGTTGAATAGTAGACTTATAAATGTCTAAGATAGATTCTGCGAAGAAAAATTGTCTAGCACAACACAGTGAACCAACTTTCCTAGCAGCAGGCCTTGCGATTGATTCAATATAATCTTTCCACATTATGCCAGCAGAAAATATTAGCCAAGGTGCAATGACTCACTCTCCCGGAGGTTAGCATCAGCCATGCTGACAAAAGGCACAAAAGGTTCTTTAGGACCATCTGAGTTCTGCAGTCAAAGGAGATATGGTCTCTTCCATCAAATTCAACAACTAAACGTGTTCAAGTGTTTATACCTGACATGACATTTGAGTCGTTCAAGGGATTTACAGACAAAAATAATGCCAGAGAGAGAGAGTTTGAAGACAAAGTGGATTGTGATGATGATGATGATGGATTTGTTTTTGCTCTCACTTCCCTCAGGATTTGAAGAGGGTCAGTTTCAAAGTCATTGATGCCACTGAAACAACAAGCTCTCAACATCTTTTACGATCAAAGGCTAGATAGCTTACAGGACTTATATGGGTTAGTGACACCTACAGAATTGCTCTTCAGTTTGTCTTTAAAGCTGAGCAATGGTCCACCTATGTTTCTTTTTCCAAAGAGTATGATGGGTAAATTGTTGTCTAAATTACACAAACATGAAAATAACACTGGCATCTCATTTTAACAGATATATTTACCAAAATTACACCAAAATATCTTGAAATACTAAAGAGTAAATTTATTCAATAAAATTGCCATTGGTTTCAACCATGGTTTCCAGATAACTTTGGAATCTCCTGCTACTCTTTTGGGTGGTCTCCTTGTTTAAGTTGGTGAATGCTGCCATAATCCTTGCCTTCAGTTCATCTTTCGTGTTACAAGGAGTTTTGTTGGTCTTTCACTCAACTGCACCCCACACATAATAATCAAGGAGGTTGCAGCCTGGGAAGTTAGGTGACCAGATGTAAAGCGTGATGTGGTTGCAGAAATTGTCTGAAAGCCATGACTGAGATCTCATGCTTGTGTGGCATGATGTAGAGTCCTGTTGCCAGACATAGGATCATCCAGCAGCCACCCTCTTGACTCAAGGCAGCACAACCTCGTCAAAGCATTTGATGTAGGCCTCCATGTTGAGTCTGAGGCCCTGTAGGAAGATGAATGGTGACATAACGTCACCATCACTAGTGATCACTCCAAACACCTTCGTAATCGCCATTAGACTCATCCAAATCCTCTGCACTGTCCTTAGATTGACACCCAAACACTCTGAAATGTTCATATTGGAGTTTCTGATATGAATGCCAAGGAGTACAGCATACCGTTTCCAAATTTCTGGCAGAATGAATTGTATCATGCTTTCCTTTTTCTCACAGATGGTTTCCAACCGACCCTATTATACCGTGCAGTTGACAAAATCAAAAACAAACAATGTGCATGTTTGAAATTAAAAATATAAAATGGCAACTATTTATCCATTACATCATGTGAACCTTAGTTATCTTGTTGTCACTCATTCTGACAACATGGCCAGACTAACTCAATTGTTATTGCATGAGAAAACTCTCAATGCCTCCAGTATTGCATTTAGTGAAAAAGTCAGCATTTGATATTTTGTCTTCATGGGTATGCTCACTGATTGCCTGAAGGAAACCGTTTGTGGCAGCATCAAGCAGATTAATGTACAATTGATTCTAACCTATACAAGAGTGTGGTAAGAACAACAGCTTTATATAATTTTTTTTTAATCCAATTCACCCCAAGCAAGGCAGTAAAGCAATTAAGACACAAAGGGTTACTGGGCATAGAAGAATTAAAAAATAGAAACATTACTAAGAATCAAGAACAATAGAAAAGTACCAGGAAGACAGTAGACAATGATATATATATATATATATATATATATATATATATATATAATAATGGACTCTCCTGTCGGTTTCGACGTATGAGGATCTGACAGCTTAGTTGATTCAGTTATGAAATTTTGAGCGATAATCTTAAATGGCATCTAAGACTCACTAGTGATTTACAAAGGAGGCCACATATGGAACAAGTGTGAGGATTGTGAGATGAGATCACTCTTAGATTGGCTGACCTTTTAGATCTTGCTCTCACTTCTTGAAGATGATGAGTCCACTAAAACACATTGATCTCCATTCTACCCGCTCCAAGGCTCAAGGATGTTATGTGACATATTGACTGCTGACAAGTTGCTTTTCAGCTTGTCTTTGTATCTTAGCCATTGGTGTCCTACATTCCTGTAGTCCTGATCTAACTGGCTGTACATTAGGATCTTGGGTATCCTGTCATCAGACATTCTCAAGGCATGACCAGTCCACTGTAACTGAGACTGTATGATAAAAGTCTCAATTCTTCCAATATTACACCTGTTAAACAGGTCTACGTTAGATGTCCTATCTTGAAGGTTAACTCCACAGATTGCACACAGACAGCTTTTTTATATATATATAAGACATGAGGCCTGATGATTGCTTCTAGCATGAAACAGTCTGTTGCCTCTGAGTGTTGACTTCAATGTTCACTTATTTTTATATATATATATATTGTTTCTTTTTTTAATTGAGTTCAACCCAAGCAAGTCAGTAAAGCCACTAAGACACAAGGGGTTACTGAGTTGGGAAGAATTAAAAAACAGAAAATTACTAAGAACCGAGAACAATAGAAGAATAGCAGAAAGATTGTAGATAGCGATTGTCATTGTATTTAAATTTTTGAAGATTAAAGTTGACGGGAAAGCATGAAGCTGAAAGAGAGTTCCACAAATGGGAAGTGCAAGAAAAGAAACTGTTAGTATAGTTACATCTAGCTAACTTAACTAAATTGATGAGACCTCATTGTCAATCTAGTACTGCACTTAAATACATGACGCCTGGGTGCTAGCAAAGAGTGATATTTAATCCGTAAAATATACAGAAATGTGGCACAAGATCAAAATAGAAAATGGGTAAAAAAAGGATATTCTTCTTTTGTCTTAAAATGACTGAAGCTGAGACGCCAGGTCAGGAATAATAATATTGCTATAGGTAAAAATTCAGATATAAATATAGGGTGTTCCTATATATATATATATATATAGATAGATATATAGATAGATAGATAGATAGATAATGGGTGTTCCAATAACTTGGACCGATTTTAAATGTGAATTAAATTTAAGCGTCTAATGATTTTTTTCCTTTTCTTGCAGATTTAACAACTTAAGTCTTTGGCAATTTTAACCATGGAAAGATTAACAATGAAACGTGTTAAAGTTATTGAAGCCTATTACGAAAATGGACATTCAAACAGAAATGCATTTTGCGCATTTCACAATTTTTTTGGTCAACATAATGAATCAACTGAGAGTGCAATTGGAAAAATTGTTCATAAATTCAAAAAAACTGGGTCGGTGGAGGATGTGAACTCACCACCGTGTGCTCGTTTATGCCATTCAGCTGAAAAAATTGATGCAGTGCATGAGAATGTGGTTGAAAATCTCGACACCTCTATTTGTCGTCGCGCACAGGAACTGAACCTCTCCACAACAACGTTACATCAAATTTCGGCAAAAGATTTGTCTCTAAATGCTTACAAAATTCAATTGATACAAGAACTGAAACCTGCTGACCATTTGGAGCACCGTACATTTGTCAATTGGGTGCATGAGCAAAGACAAGCCGATGGAGATTTTTCACCAAAAATCCTCTTTAGTGATGAAGCCCATTTTCATCTTGGTGGATTCGTTAATAAGCAGAATTGTCACATTTGGGCTGATGAAAATCGAAGGAAAATTGTTGAAAAGCCGCTGCATCCATAAAAGGTCACTGTTTGGTGTGCATTTTTGTAAGCAAAATCATTGGGCTCAACATTTATGAATTTCAAATCAGTTATTGGAATGCCCTATATATATATATATATATATATATATATATATATATATATATATATATATATATATAAAAGACAATATAAATAAAAGAAAAGACAAGAGAACATCTTTTATACCAACTCGTTTCATTATACTACTCTTGATAAAAATCCTCAAGGAATGAAACATTTTGGCATAAAAGGTTTTCCTCTTGTCTTTTCTTTCATCTATATGATGATGGATTTCAATGTATGAGGATCTAACAACCTCATTCAGTTTTTTTTTATGTTTGTGCTGTATGTGATAATTCAGTCCCACTAGTAACTTGTATACAAATCCACATATTGTGCAACAGTGATGCTCCAATTTCAACAGATATTTATTTTTATGCCTGCATATAAGCATCAATTCATTTCTCTTGTTAGGTTAGGTTTATTTAAGGTAACTAATTTTCTACAAGGCATAAATTACATCTATTGTCTTTCCCACTATAAGATTTGGTTTTTGGTACAATATGCCACAGAATAATGGGTATATTAACATCATTCTTTAATTGCCAGAAATGTTTGGAGAGAGTTGTGCTATTCATGTATCATACATTGCCTAAAGTCTTTTGATGATGATAGAAACAAAATTTCCAAGGATTTTCAGTGGAAACAAAATAAAATTTGACATTGTTATGGGAATGTATACTAGCTCGGTATACAATATCATTAATCATGCATTAGTTGTTTAAGGGACAGATCATATTTTTCGGCATTTGCATTTATTTTTTTTTTAAATTAACTTTGTTATCTTTGCTGGACGTATATTTAATATAATATTGTCATGTTGGGATATTGATTTTTCAATGTTTTTAATGCAGCTATAGCTGATCTTTACATTATATTTTGTTAAAAATCTTCTTTAATATTACTGAGTGATTAAAGTGCTTATGAATTAATTTTTATGAAAATTCTTCCAATATTCGTTTGAGGAATTAAACCATATTACATTACAGTGTCTTTGTTTATTTTTACCTTTTTTGTTTTTTTATAAATTTACTTTATGACTGTTTATTTAAAACTATTTTGCAACATGTATTTACACACACACACATATATATATATATATAGAGAGAGAGAGAGAGAGAGATATATATATATTATATATATATATATATATATATATATATATATATATATATATATATATATATATATATATATATATATATTATATATATATATATATATATATATATATATATATATATATATATTATATATATATATATATATATATATATATATATATATATATATATATATTTATATATATATATATATATATATTATATATATATATATATATATATTACATATTTATATATATATTATATATATACATATATTACATATTTATATATATTACATATTTATATGTATTATATATATATATATATATATATATATATATATATATATAATATATATATATATATATATATATATATATATATATTTTATATATATATATATATATATATATATATATATATATATATATATATATACTAGCAGTTGAGCCTGGTGTTGCCGGGGATATAACAGTAAGAGATAGATCAAGTATCCACCATCATAAAGACTGAAAAATAAAATTGACAAAGATTATTGTTTAAGGTTGATGGACATGCATGTCTTAATTATTCTTTTTTTTTTTTTTTTTTTATGAATTGGTCAAACCCAAACTCAAACAAAAACATTGTTTTCAATCATTATGAGTCTACTGATTGAATAGAATTTTATTATAAACAATTGTCTTGTAAATGGAATTTTTAAAGCATTCTGAATGTAAAAATAAAGCAAAAAGTGTGCAAGACAATAAGAAACACTACATGCCAAAAAAAAATTAATTATGATCTAACAAATCTTATTCATTTAGTAGCCTTTCTGTAATAATAATCTTTTACAATTTATGATTTTTACAAAAAATTGGACACCATGTGTATTTAAAGTAGTTTCCCGTTCCAGTTATTATTTTTAGTTAGGACTTGTGTATGTTTGGATTTCATTATCTTTCCCTAAAGATAAAGAATTTATGTTTGTATTCATACAATCAGTAGAGATCGTTAGATTATTGTTTAAGGTTGACGGACACGCATGTCTTAATTAGTTTTTTTATTTTTTATGAATTGGTCAAACCCAAACTCAAACAAAAACATTGTTTTCAATCATTATGAGTCTACTGATTGAATAGAATTTTATTATAAATAATTGTCTTGTAAATGGAATTTTTAAAGCATTCGGAATGTAAAAATAAAGAAATAAGAAACACTACCTGCCAAAAAAAATAAAAAGTGAAGTTTTGTTTTATCGGCTGAAAAATATAGGAAATCAGGTGTGAGTTGTTCCTCTTCCATTTTCACGATGTCTCTTAATCGTGTTTTCAAATTGATTTTGTGCAAAAACAATTATATTTTTCCCATTTTTGGCACTGTTAGAACCACCACAAGGTAGTTTTATGTAGTCCTGTGAAGCTTTGTTGAAATCGGTTGAAAAATGTAGGAAATCCGATCCAATATATAAACGTTACAGACACACACACACAATCTGCGTTTTATAATAAGTAAGATTATATATATATATATATATATAATATATTTTATATATATATATATATATATATGTATATGTGTGCGTGTGTGTGTGTGTGTGTGTAATATATTATATATATATATATATATATTAAGCCTTTCAGTGTGTTTCTGGCCATGTAAATGATATTGTCATAAGACCCACCTGTTGTCATCGGGAGCAACATGAGCCCCTAATAGTGCCAAAGACTGGTTATCACAAAATGTATGGGTGCATTCTTTGGCTGCGACATTCCAAATTTTGGCTGTTGAATCTTCGGAAGAACTCAAGATGTATTTGTCTGTATGGAAGAATTGACAGGAAGAAACTGAACCAGTATGGCCTCGGAACACTTTACAATAGAGCTGACAGGAAAAAGAAAAAAAAAAAATTAATCTACAAATGATAAAGAAAAATCATGAGATACTTTAAATGATCCTTAATTCTTTATTTTATTTTTTCGTTTTTCATTACGATGTTACTTTACATTAAAACTTTATCTTTTTGTATGCTCTGTATTTTTGAGAAAAAGTGAAATTTAATTTTTCCACATGGAAGTTTGATTATGTATGGTATTGAAATTATTGTATATTTTTAATTTTTAATTTATAATTTTTAAAATTAAATAAAAATAATAATGGGTTTATTGAATAATTGACTGTTGTACGTAAATAACTTTGGTAAATTTTCACTTTGTTTCCCAAGCGCTAATATTCTTTCAAATTTTTCCAAAATAGTCTTATTTCCGTGCAAATGTACATGCTGAACTCGAATCAACAATTAGATCATGAAGAAACCTACATTTTTGGATGTTAACGATCAGAAAAAAAATCGGACTTCTTCTCGGTCTTTCGTCAGCCATTACCAGCTTATTGAGAAATAATTCACTGCCGAAAGATTTTTGGTGGATTCATAAACTTTGGGCCTATTTACTTCTTTTACAGACTTTCCATGCAGAAAATCACTACGCACTACCGTAAAGAAATGAAATTTTTTTTTTTTTTTGTAAGTTAAATAATACAATAGAACCTTTTTTCTGTTTCGAATAGCAATGACAAATTAAAAGAACAAATTAAATAATAAAAAAAAAGCATTTTTTATATTGTAATATTGAAAATAAAACAAAAATTATTATACAAACTTGCTAAAGGAGAAGGGTTGATTATATTATTTCATTTGTTTTTAAATTGTCCCCTTTTCTACACAGAAAACCCCACCTCTGACCTTAACAACTATTAATAAAGTTAATCTTTAGGGTTAGGTGTTAAGGTTAGGGTTTTCTTTCTGTGTAGAAAAGGGGACAAAAATTAATGCACAAACTTGGTAAAGTAGAAGGGTTGATTGTATTATTTAATTTTTTTTTAAAGTTAATCTTTTTTAATTTTCCCCTTTTCTACACAGAAAGAAAACCCCTTCCCTAACCTTAACACCTAACCCTAAAGTTAATCTTTTTAAATTAATGCACAAACTTGGTAAAGTAGAAGGGTTGATTGTATTATTTAATTCTTTTTTAATTTGTCCCCTTTTCTACACAGAAAACCCCTTTCCTAACCTTAACACCTAACTCTAAAGTTAATCTTTTTTAATTTGTCCCCTTTTCTGCACAGAAAGAAAACCCCAACCCTAAAGTTAATCTTTAGGGTTAGTTGTTAAGGTCGGGGTGGGGTTTTCTGTGTAGAAAAGGGGACAATTTGAAAACAAATGAAATAATAAAATAGTAAATAGGCCCAAATTTTATGACTCCACCAAATAGTAAAAAATGGTAAAAATAAGTAAAACCTATTAATAAATTATTAAAACACTTAAATGATTTTAACTGAGGTAATTCTTTTTTCATGTGAATCTTGCCCACATTTTTTGGGTAGGGGGTGATTTCAGGATGACCTCCGTGTCTAAAACTTTTTTTTTTACCAAATGGTAAAATAATTTACCAAGTTTGTGCATTAATTTGTTTTTTATTTTCAATTTTACAATATAAAAAATGCTTTATTTTTTATTATTTAATTTGTTCTTTTAATTTGTCATTGCTATTCGAAACGGAAAAAATTTCTATTGTATTATTTAATTTGTTTTTATTATAAATATTATAAAACTAAAGTTACCAAAAAAAACTAAAAAACAACTTTCATTTCTTTACCACGGTAGTGCGTAGTGATTTTTTGCAAGGAAAGTCTGTAAAAGAAGTAAATAGGCCCAGAGTTTATGACTCCGCCAAAAATCTTTCGGCAGTGAATGAGGATTCATGATGGCAGTAATGGGGGACGAATGACCAACAAGAAGTCCGATTTGTTCTTGTCGATAACTCCAAAACGGTAAGGTTTCTTCATGATTTAATTGTTAATTCGAGTTCAGCATGTACATTTGCACGGAATTATGACGATTTGGGAAAAATTTGAAGGGATATTAGTGCTCGGGAAACAAAATAGAAATTTACCATAACTTTGATAAGCAAAACTGCCCCTAAATCGTGTCTGTAATAATAAAAATAAATAAAACAAATAAAAAAAGAACATAAAAATATTTTTAATTACAATTAGATATTTAAAAAAAAAACGATGCAAAAAGATAAATAAAATAAAATAAAATCATTAAAATAAATAAAAATAGCAACTTTAAATTTTTAAATAATTTAAATTTAGTTTGTGCAAATTTAAAAGTTTTTTTTTAAAGGAACAAAAAAAAGTAAATAAAAAATAATTCCGCCAATAAGTTAAATTAAATTTTTAGTCGTTACTTTCCGAAATAAAATAATTCTTTATTTTCCTTTGAAATCGTTTAAACTTTAACCACAAGTTTGAATAGTACATCTAAAACGCAAAAGAAAAGACTGGCTGACCGTAATTAATAAGAGGGTCGATTTTAATAAAGTTTGGACACTTCCCTGAAGTAGTGATAAGGATCATCACCGACCCTATCACCGTGAGTGAATAATAGCACTGTGACGTTATGAGATTTTTTTAATTCAAGTTTTTTTTAATCAAAATTTCGAATGTTCTAAAAAGGAGTAAAACAATAAAATAAATTAAAAAATACTTCGACCCTTCTTAGTCTTAATAAATATTAATTAATAATAAAGATTTTGACAACAAAATTATGTTTTCATTTACGTTTGGGGCATTTTTTTCATCATGGTATGCAGAATTTTTAGCGATTTCGTGGAGGCCCCTTATTCAATGGATATGAAAAAGTGTCGTAAAAAATCGTAAACATTTTCGTGACTGGCCCGGAAGAAAAAAAGCAATACGTACTTTTGACTTTCCTATGAAGGCATATCTGGAACTTTCCAATTCGTCAGCCTGTTCCTTGCGGACTTTTTTTGTGCGGCAAATGTCTTCGACTGCCCCCAAAATAAGGTCCATCTTGCCATGTGGTTTGTTCCCGCCGCGTCTCCGTTGCCAATAGCAACGGAGACGCGACTCTTCTCAACGGAAGTCATTTTTCTCTTAGCATACCTGAAATATGGAGTAAACGTTTCTCCTCATTTTTTTTAGATGATATAAAAAAGGTGCACATCCCGCGGATTCCAACTCTGTAGCAGCAGCTTCCTTATTTCAGTAAGAGATGTAAAAAGGCCGGTTTGTAATATCGACGCCAGCGTGACAGTGGTACCCTACCCACGGACAATTACAACTGTCGCAATGGCATGGACAAAAAAAGGACAAAAAAGTGTTTGCCCAGTCCCCACGACTGGGTAAAGACTTTTTTTTGTCCTTCCTTAGTCTAGCATACGTATGTGCATGCCCCCCCCCCACACACGTAAAAACGGCCTTGTGTCACATCCTGCCTTAATGGGGAGGCCGGGTAACATGAACAATTTGTAAAAAAAAAAAAAATCCTTTTTAAAATTGCATGTAAAGATTTTACTTCAGATCATTTTAATTTCTTGTGAAAAAAAAAAAAAAGCAGGAATTATTGGTTCTGGACGTTGATGGTGTCTCCAAGAAACCAAAATCAAAGATGGACATGATCAGTTAACATCACAATTACTAGCCTTGGAAACAGTAAATATTCCAATTCCATACCGAATTTATGGTTTTTGTCATCAATACCAAATGGCAGTACAACGTCCATAAACATGTTGGACATGTAAATTCATTTTTTAAATAATATTTGTTTTATTAATTATACTTTTAGTTTAAATCAGGTAAAAAGTTTCAGAAACTGAGAAAACTAAAAGTATATTTTGTTTTAGGAAAATTGAAAGACGACTAAAAATGGACACTAATCAGCTATTTTAGCAAAAAAAGAAAATACACAACACTAACAGTAACACCCTTTCCAGTCAATTTGAAAAGTCTTTCAAATACAATAAGTATTTTTTTGCTTATTGGAAATATTAAAAATTTAAATCTATTAACTTGAAATTAAAACTCAAACACTTCCATTCAGACCGTCTGATGAAGTAAGCATCTTCTTCAGATTTGGTACTCTTATGACAGGACTGCTGCATCTAATTATTCATAATTTCAGGTAACATTATCGAGGACGTTCGGTTTTTACGACAAATATCTCGTTTTTTGTTTTTAGAATCATTTTGTGTTGCCCCAAATATTTCTGGATATGTTTATATTGTTTACCCTTAAAGATAACGCGAAGAATAGATTTGGTTCCTAACAACTCTATTCAATAAAGGTTTTCAGAGCCAAAATTAAAGTTTATTGTAAACAAATATACAATACAAGCGTGATTGAGTTCCATTTTGTTTTTTTACTCCTTGACATTTTAGGTTTTAGCCTCTTGTTACACCGCCGGTGACAACATTTAGAGTTCCTTCTGTCTGATCTACCGGCAATCATGGTTGCCGGATTAAAATTTTTATTTAAAGCCAAATAATACTTATAAAAAGACAGAAAAAAAAGCAAAATTAAAATTTTCATATAAAGCCAGAAAAAAAAAAGCTAAATAAACACGAGATTATATTTATTACACGGTGGGATTTTAGGTGTTTTATAATGAAACCACCTTATATTTCTTTCAATTTAAACTTAAAATTTTTAAGTGATTTTTTTTTTTTAGCTATAAATTCGGAATTTTATTTTGTCAGTCGTAAAACAAGACTGATTCGTTGGGAAAAATTCTTTTTAGTGTTTTCTTTTTTTATAATTTTTAATAATACTTTAACTTTAAAAACGTTTTTAAATAAATTTCCTGAAATTTAAATTTTTTAATTGAAATGTTTTTTTTTAAATTTAAATTTTTTAATTGAAAATATGTTTTTTTGACTTATTAAATGTAATGACAGAATGATAACCATTTTATTAATGATTCATTTTTTTAGTATGTCTATCCACAAGACTTTTTTTTTATTTAAAGAACTTAACTTATGAAAGAAACATTGGAGAAAAAGAGGGTTGAACATGTGAAAGATTAGGAAAAAAATAGACATTAGTTTATATTTATTTATTTATATGATAAAATATTATGAAAGAAAAATTTCTCCATTTTGATCGACTGCTGAAATTGGCATTGGTTTGCAAAAGAATCATTATTCTTTTTTTTTTTTAACAATAAATTTCTGGGAACCCTTTTCTTTCTAGATTAAGGATATGATGATAAAAGGGTCAAAATCTCCCATAATTCAGTCATATCACTGAGAATAAAAAAAAAAAAAGATTGTAGCATAGAAGCTGCAATATACTGTTTCTTTTACTTTTAGCATGTAAAAAAATCAAGAAAAAGCCAGACACCAAATCAATTCTTTGGCACTAAACCAACCAAAAAAAAAAACAGATTTCAGAAATTTGGCATCAGAAAAGCCAATCAGGCAACCCTGCTGCAAATAAGAACCATAAATTACCACATTTATCTGTTTTATAAGCTCTGTCAGTTAGTTATGTGCCATGTGTGATACACGTGTAGGCAATCATGTATCTTTTGATATATGACTGACAAGACAGATTTTTTCCTGCAGTAGGTTGCCATTTATTTCTGCGGTAGACCAGTTGTCATCCAAGGCTATAGAATCCGGTCTGTCCTGCTATTTACCCATATCTGGGGAGAGAAGAAGCGGATTCATACTTTTCCCAAGGGTATTAGCATGTAAGTGAATGTAATGGATTTGACTGGAATTCAAACTTGGCTCTCTGATTCCTCAATCTGAGCCACTATCCATTGCTCCATTCATTCAACTCGACAGAAGGACTGACAGCAGTAAAGAGACATGCGTCAACCTTGGCATCTTGTCTTTCTCATCAAAGCAACAGGAAAATTTTAAGAGTTCATAAGTTCATATCAGAAGGTTCAAATGTTGAACCTCTAAGTCGTTTTTTAGCATATATAAGAAGCAAGAGGGAGAGTCCTTGTAATCTTAATGTGTATGTATGTGTGTTTTTCGTTGGTAGTAGTAATCCTTTCAATTCTCTGAGGGGTTAAATGTCCAGATAATAAAGGGCATGTCTAAAAAAAAATATAGTACTATAGTAATGAGTTGATAACACCTGCTGACATCTGATAATAATGGACCCAAAACTAGGTACCAAAGCCAAGAGGCCCTGAAGATCATGAACAAAGTAGGCATGTTTCAGCCTACTCCAAAAACAGGTGATGCTGGCTATGAGAAAAATTGAATGATGCATAGATGAGCAGTCAGCGGCTGAAGAATATGAACAGCATCAGATAAGTGTTTCAATCAATTTCAAATGGATACATGCATTTGGATTTTGTCTCTGATGCCATAACTTTAACTGCTAAAAGAATACAATTTTTAGCAATTTGATATGCCCATTCTTGAACTCACACTGTCACTGGATCTAACCAACGCCTTTATCCACTGTGCCATTTGTCCTTAAGGAGTGGTGAATTAACAGGAGATAACTGATAACTGACATCCATTAGACATGGCATGTGGAACTAGAACAGTTTACTCCAGTGAATGAGAATAAAGGGTTCAGTTCGACATTCCAACCACCTGAAGAAGGCCAGAGCATACAACGGCCAAAATGTTGTGATAAATATGGCAACAAAGATGAGGACAATAGTCTGAATAATGTAAATAGTGTGCATAATACTTCATCTCAGAAATATAGACAGATACCAAATAAATAGTGTTTAATATTTTTATTTTATTGTAAATTCTCAAGAACAAAAAATAAATGTATAAATTCACTCTCATCATGTGTTTAGGTTTTATTATTATTATTATTTTATTTATTTATTTTTTGAATATACGCTCTTAAATTGGTCGCCGGATGGAGTTGTCAGTGATGTAAATTGACTTGGTTCATCAAGGAGTTTCGGGTCTTTGAACATCATACACACCGTCACTAAGCCAACCCCAATCAGGGTAGATCAAGTCTTGATTCTCCCTTCGCAATCAACTGCTAGCAGAGACTCTGGCCTTTATACTAAATTAGATGAAAGTAGACCACGTTATCCATGCACTTGATTGGGTGTTCATAACAACAATTCACTCTGCAGACTGAATTTTTAAATGGTTCATAGGGGGACTGGCTCCACTTTTTTTATTTTTTTTCTATAGAATGATTAGCAGCTTCAGTGGATAATCGAGGAGATAATTTAACGTTCTTAAATTTGTTGCAGTCTGGTGTATGCATTGAGATATAAACACGTATGTCTTCTGAAATCCCCACAACAAACATGGCAAACTCGGGCCGGTCCAACTACATGAGAAAGTTGGACATTAATTAAGTCCAAAGAAGGCAAAGAAAAACAAATACAAGACTGATAAATATATGTAAACAAATATATGTATTAATAACAAAAAAGGTTACAAGTTACATGGACAAAGTGTGTGTGGTGAATATTATATGTGTGTGTGTTGTGGTGTGGTGAGTGTTCGTACATATGTGTATTGTTCTTAGCGTGTTCCCAGCATTTGGGAAACACTGTATCTGTGAGTGTTCACATCTGCAAGTTGGTATAAGGCCAAAGCCTGAGGAAAAAGATTTACCTCAAGGTGGCGGCCCAAAGGCCTGAGGGAAAAAGAGGAAGAGGGGAAGGGTCAGCGACTATTTATAGCCAGGGAAGAGAGACCCCTTGGTGAAAGGTAAGGAGCTAAGGAGGAGCTAACTCCGACAATATATATATATGTGTGTGTGTTTGTGTGCGTGTACAAACAAATGATAATGTATTAACAATAAAAGGTTACAAGTGACAAAGATGTGTGTAACAAATGAATGCAAAACTTTTTGCATGCAAAATATGTGTGGTGAGTGAATGTGTGTACATACGCGCACGTGCCTGTGTGTGTGTGTGTGTGTGTGTGTTGTTCATGTATTTCCCAAAAGGGAACACGTTCTCCATGAGAGATTTACATGTTGACTGAAAAAGTTAAGAAGAGGCTGTGAATAATTATCGTGGAGTGTTTATAGTGCCAGAGAGCGTCTCCTAGTAGCGGTTT